GTCGCTGCGCAACATGCCTAAACCAATCAAAACATAATAACCAAATCAGGTGCGCAACTCGCGTCACCTGAGTGAAACCCATGACTCATAAGTATAAGTCATGTGCGAAAATCATAACATCTTGTAACTCACAACTGTGAGTCACGAACAGGTAAACATAATAACCTATGGCGTACTAGTGTGCATCATGTAAAATCCCAACATACCTCTAACTCGGAAATCCGAGCTATGTGAAATCTGCCTCGCTTAGTCACAGTTTGTGACATTAGCTCCCCTCTCCCTCAGCCCGAGTCCCATCGGGCTTCAGTCTTCTATCCCCCATCTTCTTTCTTCGGATAGCGGATAGTACCTATTCGTTCCTGTGTTCACCCTGACTACCCTGGCCAGAGTTTTCCTTGCTTCCTTCTCTTCTCTCCTCCAGTCGTTCTGGAGAGCCTTTCTCATATTTCTCTCTCCTTGCAACTCCTTCGTCAAATTGTTGTTGCTCCACCTTGTCCTCTCCAGCTCCTTCTTGAGCTCCTCTATCTTTTCCGCCTGATATTCCAGCAACCTGCTGGTTTCAGTTTTCTCGGCTAACCACTTCATTTTGACCTCCTTCGAGGTCTTGTGTTCCGTCTCTTCTTCCATCTCTTCTTGCCAGGAAACCTGCTTCGATTTCCTGGGTCTTGCCTATTGTTTTCGTTTTTTCGCCCCCCTCCTCCTTGATTCCGTCCTCGGAGTCGGTTCGATGTATTGTACCAGATTCACTGGATCTGGTGTGGGGGATTTCGTTGGTGTCGGGGATCTCGTTGGCGATCCCAAAGGTGAAGTCTTGGGGGGCCATCGATTCTCTCCCCGAGGCCAGTATCCCGAGCCTTCTTTCTCGCTTTTGTGCACTTGGCACTCGTCGTCGGAGCAACCTGTTCATGACAGGTTCGCGTGCTCCCTTTGGGTAGTGGGAGTCTTGGGTATCGGTAGGTCCTTCAGACTTATCCAGTACTCGGGGTTGTATTCCATCTCGTCTTTCGTCTGTTCGGGGCTCGGGGTGCGGTATCCCGCGCTGGTTGGGGTGATGTGTTTGAACGCGTCGCGTCCCGGATCGGTCTGGAGTGACGCCCTCAACGGTATCGTTTCCATTTTTATCTGAGGCTGATGCCAATGGTAGGTGTCTATTCTACGTAGTGGTGGGGCCACACATTCAAATTCGGGTGCATCTTCTACAGTTGCTTGACGGTTTGCTGGGGTATCGTTGATGGAATTGGTGGACTGTATTTTGCGCGTGATCGAAGTTCTTGGCTGAGTACCAAGTCTTATCGTGTTCTGGAGAGTATCCAGTCCACTTCGCTCGTATTGGAAGCGACTGTAGTGTAATCAAGAGTCGACGATTTCTTCGAGTTCGTATTCTGACTCACCGTCTATCTTGATAGGCGGTGGGGGAGGTTTTTCTTGTGAGGGGAATGGATTGTCTTGATAGGGTTCTAGTAGGCTGATGTGGAAATTGTTGTGTATTTTCATTGACGGTGGGAGGTCAAGCTTATAAGCTTGACTTCCTATCTTTGCCAACATCTTGAATGGTCCTATTTTCTTGTAATCTAGTTTTTTCGTCGGTCGCGTAGTTCGGATGTTGCGTGGTAGTAACCAAACCATATCTCCTGATTTTAGGTTTGGATCGGGTTTTCTGTGGCGATCGTAGTCTTCCTTCTGTCGTAATTGTGCCGCAACCATTTCGTTTCGCAATGTGTCATGTAGTTGACTCATATCCTTTTTGTCCGTTATCTTTCCTTGAAGCATATGACCTATGGTTTCATATACTGGATGTGTGACGTAATTTGTAAAAAACGGAGTCATCTTGATTGTTTCTTGTTTTCCGTTGTTGTAGGCAAATTCGGCTAGTGGTGGCCTGTCGTACCAATCATCTTGTTGGTAGTTGACGTATGCGCGGAGATATTGTTCTAATATGCCGTTGATTCTTTCCGTTTGTCCATCCGTCTAGGGGTGGAAGGCTATGCTCATTCGTCGTTCAATCTCTAGTTTTTCCGTCGTTTCCTTTCACACTTCTGAAGTAAATAGTAATCCCCTGTCGCTAATGATGTCTTTGGGTAATCCGTTTAGGCAGTATATTTCTTTCAGAAATATGGTTGCAAACTGCCGTGCTGTCATATCCGTTTTGCATGGTATGAAGTGACTCATTTTGGTCAGGCGATCTACTTCCACTAGTATGGCATTATGATCGTTTGATTTAGGTAATTCGGTTATAAAGTCTAATGATATAGACTTACATGGTTTTTCTGGGGCCTCGTTTGATTTGAGTAATCCGTAAGGTGCGTGTCGTACCACTTTGATTCTTTGGCACGTGTCGCAATTCTTGACATATCGTTTGATGTCTTTTCTTATCTTGGGTTAGTAATATCTTCGGATGATGAATTCGGTAGTTTTGGTGGTTCCTCCGTGCCCAGCATATGGAGGGTCGTAATGGTGTCGTATGATTTCCGTGCGTAATTCTTCTTTGTTTGGTACCCAGATTTTCCCGTCGTACCCCAGGTAGTCGTCTTTCGATTGACACAATCCTAAGGCTACCCCTTTGGCTTCCTTGCTTCCTTGTGCCAGTTTTGCCTTGATGTCTTGCATTTCCTCATCTTGCGAACTTTCTTTTTTGATATCTTCTTCCAATGTAGTTCGTGTGTTGATTTCGTTCAGGGACTCATATCCACTATCTTCATCCTCCGATTGAAAATATTTTTCTTTTGGTAACTGTATTTGTTGTTTCTGTTTGATTCTTTCATCTTCTGGATCTTTTGGTTTGTCCGCTGATCGTCTCGTCAAGGTGTCTGACTTTCCTCCTTCTTTTCCGGGGCGATAATCGATTTTGAAGTTGTAGCTGCTGAGTTTCTCCATCCACCTTATCTGTCGTCTATTTAGCTCCTTCGTGGTCATGAAGGGTACCAAGTTTTTGTGGTCTGTTAGTATTTTGACCGGTGCCTGATTGTTTTGTGTGTATCTTCTCCATTCCTTTAGTGCTTGAACTATCGCTAACAGTTCTTTGTCGTGGACGTCGTAGTTGCACTCCACCGGGGTCATTGTTTTGGATCGGAAAGCGACTGGTCTCCATTTACCGTCTTCGCATTTTTGAGAGAGTATGCCTGAGCATACGGATTTCGAAGCGTCTGTCTCGCTCATTCTTTCCTTCGTTGGGTCGAAATGTACCAGTATCGGTCCTTTGGTAATCTTGGTCCTGAGTTCGTCGAACGCTTCTCTTTCTTTGATGCCCCACTCCCATTTGACATCTTTTTTTGTTAGGTTATATAATGGTTTGGCTGTTCGGCTGAACCCTTCTATAAACCTTCGATAGAAGTTGCAGAATCCGATAAAGCATTGGATATCTGTTTTGTTCTTTGGGTACTCCCATTCCCATATGGCTTTAGTTTTAACGGGGTCCATCTGGACCCCTTCGCCATTGATGATGAATCCTAGGTATTCGGTTTCTCTTTTGTGGAATTCGCATTTGCTGGGTTTGCATCTCATTCCTGATTCTTTGATGTCAGCCATTATGTTGCTGACATCCTTTTGGTGCTGTTCCATATCCTTGGAGTATATTAGTACATC